CAATCTAAATGAATTGTCTCTTTGAGAAAACCTAAGTTTTTTACCTGCGAAAGGGATAATACAAAGACATACCTGAAGTAATAAAATTTTTTTTCTAAATTTCACGAAAAATTATAGAAGAAATCCAGAGTACAAATTTCTCTTTGTTTTTTTTACTACGATTGACCAGTTCTTTCTTTTTCTCTAACCATTTTTCGTTTTTTATTTTATACCTGCTTTGAAGATAATCTACAAAAATCCTACATAAAAAAAAAAAAAGAGTAAAAGAAAACGTTTTATTTCAAAGAGACTATTTTTATCGTTAATCCGACGAAAACCTATCAAACTTTCCATACGATTTTAAACTTTTCACTTAAAACTGTATAAAAAAAAAAGATAGCATTTAATAAATAATATCTTGGAAAATTAGTCTCATTTCACATGAATTTATTCAAATATATATTTTATAATCCTACAATGTTAATCATTGTATTTCTAATCAAAATCAATTTACATAGATTTATCATTCACCGATTAAAAATAACCTTTCACTAGTTACAGCTTAATTATCTTTCATTGTCCTCTCAGAGATAAGTAATAAGGGTCTAACTTGAGATAAGATAAAGTTTAACTGTGAAAGGAATAAGTGAGTAGGTACTCGGGAGAGTAGGAAAATTAAAAATGAAGAAATAAAAAGGAAAAGAAAAACAAATTGAATGAAAATCAAATTAAAAAAAAAAATGAGAAAAAAAGGAAATTAACAAATATCGATTTAAAAAAATTGAAAAGAAACAGAAATTAAATACAAAACAAATAAAAAAAAAATATAAAAAAAATGAACAAACAAAAAAATGAAATTAATGAAAATCAAATGCAAAATGAAAAGAAAAGATGGAATATAATGAAGATCAAATAAAAAATAAAAAATAAAAAAATAACAGAAAATTAAAGAAAATCAAAAATAAAACAATGAAAAAAAAAAAGGAAATTAATAAAAAAAAACAGATCAAAAATGAGAAAAAAAAGGAAAAAAAAAATATATATAAAAATAATGAAAATCAAATAGAAAAAAAGAAGAGAATAAAAATGAAGAGAGAATGAAAAGGAAAAAAAGAAGGAGGAAGTTTTAATAATAGTTAATAGAAAATATTCAAGAAAAGGAAAAAAAAAAACTGTGTCATTGAAACACATTCATAGTACCAGTTTTTGAAAGTTTCTCCTCTCGTGTAATGCACCTTTAAAAAAAAAAAAGAAAAAAAAAAAAAGAAGAAGAAGAAACAGAAAATGAAGATAAAGAGAGAAACGGAAGCATGGTCAGTTAGTTGAATATAATAAATAAATCGTATTGAAAGTATTATAAAAGAAATTCTTCTTTTTTTCTCAAGTGGCAAGTACTTTTGTACGTCCAAAGATCAAAGTCTGAGAACACCTGCGGTGTACTTCTTCTTTATTCTTCTTTATCTTTTCTTTCTCTACCTTATTTCACTGTTTATTATATTCTCCCTCTCTCTCTCTCTCTCTCTCTCTCTCT